AAAAAGGGGAAGAATATGAAATTAAGAATATCAATAAGAGGGATTCAGCATTTATTAAATGTCCACTATGAAGTACATGCCAAGTACTATGCTAAAAAGTATATAAAATTCATCTCATTTACTCCTACTCCTAAAATAATAACAGCCATATAATATTTTACGTAAAATACCTTATTTAACTGCAGTAGCAATCCCATTTTATGATAATAAACCTGAGTTCAGAAAATTAAATAAGTTTCCCAAAGTTATGCATTCACCAACTAGATGAATTAAAATCTAAAGCTCTTTACTTCATTTTTCTGTCTCCTAAAGGGAAAAACATCAGAGCATCATTTTGAAAGAGTAAACTCAAGTGTTCTGAAAAGTCCAAATTCTATGAAATCTTTTTCCTTCTGATGGCATATTCTGGTGAATATATGAAAACCTACACTATTCCATCATATTCCATAAGGTGCTTAGAATCAATTAAAAGGCTATAAGAAAGGAATAGAAGTATGCATAGATAACTCTGCGGACTGTCAAGGAAGTCCTGGGTGTGTATGCAGCACCAGTTTACACAGACTGGCTATAAAGCAGACAGAAGCTCACTCTGGAAAGAGTAAAAAGAGAGTCAGAAAACATGCCCTGAAATTTGACATCTACTGTTCACATAATTAGCACCTTAGAGTTTAAGTTTAGTCGTTCTACATCAAAACTGAACTCTAGAACAGAGGAGAGTACTTCCATGCAGAAACAAAAGGAAGAGCATAAGAAGCTGACATAATCCTTGATGCTTTTGAGCATCAAGAAGAAAAGCAGAGTTGGGGAGGAAAGAAATTATTCCTTTCCAATGCCAAGAAAGAAGATCAAGGTCAGATTAGTTATCTGGTTCACTCTGGGTCAAATCAGCCCATTGTGCACTTGGGGCTTCATGGTTCAGGTTAATCTGAGTATTGACTAATCCCAAGGTTCTAGACAATTTCTATCTCATTAGTGGATTTCTGGATCTTTTAAACTTTTCTACTCCAAATCAAGTGTAAATGCCATAATAGATGCAGGAGCTTTTGAGCAAATACAATAAAAGAAAACCTCTCTCTAGGGGGAACTTTTTCTCAATAACTGAAAGAAATGGCCATACACAGGAAAGCATGAATTCTGCTCTCCTTTCCTCTACCAAACAGCTCTGCTTGTCAAAATCAAGCAAGACACTAGAAATGAAAATTAAACAAGTCTGAAGTAATTGTGGGGGGAGGGAGATTCACCACTTCAAAAGTGATGGCAAAAGGGGGGAGAAATGACCCAAACATTGTATGCATAAATGAATAAAAGAAAAAAAAAAGTGATGGTAAGGGAAAGAGTGTCTACTACTCTGTCCATCACTAATGTAAGGAATTCAAAAGTTCAAAATATACTTGTGGCCCAGGGTAACCCAAGACTACCAGGTGTGGATCTCCACATTCTTTAAATATAGGGATTGTCTTACACTCTAGCAAAACACAAAGTATAGCATATTGTATATGCTTAAAATAAATATGTATAATAGTCACTGGGTACACTAGAAAAAGTTCTATCTGACTTTGGAACCAAGAATATTTATATTTCAGATGAGCAATTTTGTTTGTTTAACTAATGAATGTTGTGAACTAGGATGTGCTGGCTATTGATGAGTTTTTAAAGCAGTTGTAACCCACCCTTGTGATAGCATCATCACATTACTGAAAAAGCTTTTTAGACATATTCCTGTACCATCTCATCATGCACCCTTGCTTTGTTCTTTCTGTTTCTAATTATCTATCTTGTATTGCTTATGTTTTTGACACCTGTATCTAGCATGCTGTCTGGCACATTGACACAATATTTTTTGGCATTTTTTAAATATTTGGATTTCATTAAATACCTAACCTCTTTCTGAAATAAGACACATCCTTTTTTATAAAAGAGAAAATGAAAGACAAATCCCACCCTTCAAGGAAAGGTAAGAAATTGGTAGCTCCCTTCCCACCATCACAAAATAAAGAAAGTTGACAGTAAGATTATTCAGCCAAATCCTGCTCCCACTGATCCCTCCCCTTCTCACATCTTTTTTCTTTAGAATGAAGGTATGTCACTCTTTGCTTCACACATGCCTAGTGAAGCATATCTAAGAAAAACCCAACAGGCACTTTCTCTAAAATTCCTGTCCATCATAAATAAGAATAATTCTGTCAATGTAAAAAATTCTGGAAGTGAGGCTAAGAAAAGAAAATTTCCAGTCACATTCCAAAGAATTGGAGAGAATATGCAATTGCTGGATCTTCACTGATCATGTAAAGGATAAAACAATTAGCAGATGCTGAGGACCAAGCTTTCTATGGCTAGGAGAGGTGATGCCTGTGATCCATCTCTGTAGTTTACAACACTAAAGAGAAGTTTCTGTCTTTCAAGAATCTAAGGGGTTGGGGAAGAAAGGGGGACTTGCTAACAAAACTCAGAATTAAGAAGAGAGATGTGAGTTGTTGAATGTCTACCTCAGAGGTTTGATAGGTTTAACATCCCTATGTTAACACACAAAAGAAAGAATCCCCTACAGCCACAGTAACAGTATTAATACACTTCAATTAGTACCTAAGTATATTTTCTTCATAAAATACCTGTTAATATATTCCTTTCTGTTATATATCATGCACAGTCTAAAAGCTAAATCTTTCCAGTCTCTTACCTCCCACTAAATATAAGAATGCTAGTGTCTTTATCTTTCCATCTTCATTACATTTTTCCAACTAAGTGCAAATCATGTAGTTCAATTTCATTTATTGAAATATATTCTTTATATTCTAGATCGATCACATAAAATTACCTTCTAAACACGTGATGAAATTACAAGATAATTAAGTTTCACTACAAATTCATGCCAGCCTCAAAAACATATCCATTGCTATAGTTTGAGCCAAAGAAACAGAAACTTAGAATTCTAACTGTAGAAATGAGTATTATAAAATCTCCTAGGACAAAAAAAGCCAAGGAACATGAGAAAAAACCCATGGAACAGGACTGACACTATGAAAATTATGCAGCTGGTAATTTTTATCTCCTCAGAGATGTTGTAATTTAGTATGTGGCAGTTGGTTAAGGATTTTTAAAAATCATGTAGACAAATATAATATTCTAAAAGGAAAATGTGTTAATAAAAATTTATCAAGGCTTTAAGTATATTCAGCATTTAATCCTCATGGATACCTGCCATGAAGTCAATATTAGCCCCACTGTGCAGATGAAACCAATTCCTAGGGGCCACAGAACTTGCCTACAATAACGCAGTCACCAGATCTCCTCAACTCAAGTCAGGAGCTTATTATGCTACTTCCTGCACAAAAGGACCCCTAAATAAGAAAAGAACATGAGTGAGAGATATGTTTGAATTTTCAGGAGCAGTAGTAGTCTAGCAGAAGACAGTTTGTGTGTGTGTGTGTGTGTGTGTGTGTGTGTGTGTATGTGTTGAAGGTGCTAAAAACACCAGTGCAGAGAATCTTTTCTCCTCTAGCATCTGCTTTTGCATCTATGTGTGCCACTGGCCCTGAAGACCCAAGACTGATCATGTGTAGGACATGCCTGAAATGTACACATTTCAGTCCCTGATGGCTTAAAATTTAATAAAAATCTCCTGTACTACAACCTTGGTAGATGGTCTCAAAGGTACTTTATATCTTGTTTTATTTGGAAGACTCTTACCTAGTGACAGAAGTATTGCCATTTGACTGACAAATATTTCTTTAAAAAGTTTTTAAGCTAAATCAATTCACCAGAGCACAAAAAAAACCCTCTATTTTAATGGAATGCCATTTATATTGAGATCATTTCAATAACAGTACTGTTAGCTGCTGAAACTACTACTATAAACTCTCTTGGTGCAAAATATACAGAGATCTGGTGCATTTATAACCTGAATTGGCTCTGTTTGAATTCAGCCATAAGTGCCTTTTCTGAGTTTGTTTTGTTTTTTACAGTAGGAAAAATATGTCCAGATATATTTATTATATCATAAAGAATAAAAACTACAATGAAGTTCTTTAATTCGATTTTTATCCAGAGAAGAGAGAAAGGGGACAAACAGAATGGAGGATACAGAGAGAAAACAGAGAGGAAAGAATAAAGCAAAAGAGGAGATTTTAGGTGAAGGACAAGGAAAGAAAAGAGAGCTAGAAAGGGGGAAAAAAGCAAAAGATGTAAGTGTGCAGAAAGAAAGGGAGAGAGATATAAAAGGGATTGCAAGAAACATAAGAGAAGCAAAAGAAATCTAAGGAAAGATGAACTAACTCCTCAGATCAGTAGTGGTTAAGTAGTAGTAGAGGGCAGTACAAACTGATTTGTTCTGTTTTATTTTTCCTTGGCTTATGGGAAGTTACTTTGGATGTGAAATGAGTATGGCTTACTCATTACAGGTCTCCATTCAGTTTCCCTACACTCTCCAAGTTTCCTTTTTCAGCAGTTCACCAGAGGAGAAGCTGTTTTCCTGACGACAGTAACAAGATGACCAAAGTGACTTAGTTGAATAAAATAAAGCCAAATATTGGTATAATATGGTAACATATTTGTGGAAACCAAAAAGAAAGGTTTGCACTCTGATATTTAAAACACACCATACTTAGCTATGACAAAAAGAATTCGTTGGAAGTCATTTACATTTTTATGTGCACGATGTGAAATGATTGAATAAAGCTAATTAACATATTCATAAGTTGATTTAAAGTTAACAATTAAATAATATTTAGGTGTATTATCAAGGAACATCTTGGTCAGATATCCCATAACAATGTTTTAATCAATGTATGATTTCTTAGGGTTTCTGGGGGCACTGGCTTGAATTTAAAAAGTACAGGGTTATTTCAGATAAAATTGAGTTGGCCACTATACCCTATTTCCTCTTAGTTTCTCTCTCTCTCTCTCTCTCTCTCTCTCTCTCTCTCTCTCTCTGTCACACACACACACACACACACACACACACACACACATCTTTTGGTGACGGTTTATCTCATTCTCCACAGTGCTCCTATATACCTAAGTGTGGAAAAAACTTTGAAGAATCCATGTCCCTGGTGAATGTCGTCATGGAAAACTTCAGGAAGTACCAACACTTCTCCTGCTATTCTGACCCAGAAGGAAACCAGAAAACCGTCATCCTAACCAAACTCTACAGTTCCAATGTGCTGTTCCACTCACTTTTCTGGCCAACATGTATGATGGCTGGGGGCGTGGCTATTGTCGCCATGGTGAAACTCACACAGTATCTCTCCCTGCTCTGTGAGAGGATCCAACGGATCAATAGATAAAAGAAAAAAATGGATAACATAGTTTTCTTTAAAGCTCAAATACTGTTTTCTTTCATTCTTCACCAAAGAACCTTAAGTTTGTAATGTGCAGTCTGTTATGAGTTCCTTAATATATTATTATACATAGAGCAATAATGCAAATGCTGTTCTATATGCAAACATGATGTCATTGTTATTCAGGAGAAAAAGTTACTGTTTTGTGTTGGTTGATTGTTTTCATAATCTTGTTTCAATGCTGGAACTAGTATGTACTTCTCTCCTTCTGCCAAAATAGGGCTCAGTTATTTACTCATTTGCCAAGCTTTATGGAGGAATGTAGGCAACATCAATGTGATAAGGTCTGAATTCTGTATTATCAGATCTCTTGAAGATAAGATTTTTCTTCCTTTGTTGTTTACTAAAGCTACAGCCAAAATATATTTTTCTTTTCTTATTCTGTATTGAGCCCTGTAGCAAGTGAAGAGACCAGATTTCCTAATTAAAGTGGTAAGCATTTTCCTTGTATTTTTTACCATATCACTGTAAAAATGAGAGGAAACCTAGCCAGCTACTTTTCTTTCATTATTTATTGTTCACAGCTTGAGATTTTTAACTGATTTTTTAAAAAGATTTTTCATTAGCCAATTCTATAATCTCTTACTATGATTTAAGTAGAAAATAAACAGAATCCTTTTCCATTTAAGACCCTGCAACTGTGTGAAGAATGATATTGACCAGGAGTTTCATTAACTATGAGCTGACTGGATATTGGTAGCTGCTGCATTACAATCCAGAAAGTCTGTGTTACTAAGATATTTATGTGAAAATCCTTACTGTGTTTCAACCAAACTATTAGTTGGTAAAAATTAAGATGCTGCCTGCTGGTAAAGACTGGTAAGCTGGTTTCAATGGGTAATCTATTGTGGCAAATTAACATGTTGAAATATTGCTCTTTGAGAATTTATGTTTAAGTTAATGAATGTGTAGTCTCTCCTTCTGACAAGTGTTCCCTATCAGGATTTTAAAGCTATGTACACAGAATATTTGTCACCTCCACATGTTTTATTTTTCTATTTACAGGTCTTTTTGTTGTTATATTTTATATGCAGAATAGACCTTTTTCCTAACACACATTTGAAATGAATAACAGATCTAAAGGAAGCCTTTCTTTGCATTGCTATTTACTTGTTTATATTGGGGGGGGAGGTGAGGGATTGGTTTTAAATATAAACATTCCATCTTTTCTTTAGTATCAATATCAAAAGGCAAAGACATTTATCTTTCTCATCTATATTTAAGTACCTTTTTGTAATGTAGTATCAAAATTTTTTAGTATTGCAAAATTTTACAAATCACTTGTGGAATGAATGGTAAAATAATCTGATGAAGTGGAAATTATTCTGCAATATTGTAATTCATAGTTTGACTTTTCATAAGCAAATAAATCCCTAGGGTGTAATCAAGACTTCAAATGTGTAATTAAATTTTTTAATTCCATTTAATCACAAGATTAAATACTTCTTGCAGTCTAAACCGACAAACCCACAGTAATCCAAACACTTGTAATTTACTACCTTTAAAGGTATTTTAAGAGATTATAAAGAAAGGTCCTTTCTTAACACCTAAACAAATACACACAATGTTGTACACATTTGAAAAACTGTGTATTCCTACTCTACTCTAATAATGTAATTATGAAGAAAGTACAGAAATCTTTGGGACTATGGGGCTGAAAATTTGTAATTTTAAATGATCTTTGGACTACCCTTTAAGTGATCTGAGGGTGAAATATATGAATGAAGTTATTATATGTGCTATTTTTATTTTCCTCTAGATTTTTATTTTAAAAAGCCCAAATGTGTTTAGATAAGAATGTAGAAATCTCAAAATAATGACATCAAAAAATATTCACTAGTACCTTCTTGAATCCCAGTACAGGAACAACCCCTTTAGGTACCTTAGATGTATACACAATGATATGCTCATTATTAAAAGAGAAAGACTTGGGACTAACAATTCATTTTGGTGGGTCTGGGGGTTGAACTCAGGGCTTCCTGCTTGCAAAGCAGGCACTCTACCACTTGAGCCACACCTCCAGTCCATTTTGCTCTGGTTATTTCGGAGATGGCATAGATCAAACTGTTTGCCCTGGTTGGACTTGAACCTTGAACCATTTCTGTCTCCCAAATGCTAGGATTACATGTGTGAGTCTGGCTAATAATAATGTTTTAAATGCTTTTGCATATGCTAACTAATTTAATCTTTATAACAACCCCATTGGAGGAGCACTAATATTATCTCATCCTACAGATGGAAATGTTGAAGCTGTAGGACATTAAATCACTTTCGAAAGGTGACGGAGAGATGGTGAAGAGCTAAGAAAAAACTGTGTTACTTCCCTATTATGATAGCCATTTCTATTGCTTTGGGGTCCTTTTAGTTTCTACTGAGGAATTCCAAAGTTTGGAAGGATTATAGGGATGAAGAAGAAAGAGCTGTGAATTGGAAGCTGTTGTTCTAGATATGGTGACTAGATAACTAACCTTTTATGTTAGTATCTTCATTTCACTAATACTAACACTCCATGCTAGGTGTGTGACAAGATGGATGAACACCATTCTCCAATTGTCAGAGCACAGGTCTAATTTTCAAATGATATCTGTGCATATCAATCTATGGATTTAAAGAAAAAACAAAACCTCCCTGATGGTATACCCAATAAATTACTTGCCCTTTTAGGGCCCAATGCCTTATTTACATCTGCCAGAAGCAGAGCTCTGTGTATTCACATTATTCAACAAGAATTATTTCCCCAAATGTTATGAATGTCTGTGCTTCCAAATCACTTTCATTGTCCAATTGGTACATCCCATCTAAAACTTTATTGATTTCAGATTCCCTGAGTTGCAATTGTATTAAAACACAAAGATGATAAATGTACCAATGACTGCTTGCAAACAGCTATAATAAAAAGATACGGTTCCACAGAAAGCTGCTGGAAAAACACCAGCTGATGGCACTGTATAGGCAATCATAAATACCGCTTATGTAGACCACGTGACATTTAGAGCTCCAGAATGTTACCCTGCTCCCATTGCTGTGAACAACCAAAAAAATTCACGCATGCCATTTGTAACATAAATATCATTTTCACAATGTTAAGCCGTCTTACACATTCTTGTGGATAAAACATCTTGAGACTATAATCAGTTTATTGATATTAACACAGAGAGAAGCTAGCAAAAATGATGAATAATTGAATAATTTGAAAGGAATGATTTGTTATTACACAAGTATAGTTAAATTTCCTCTGCCCTCCACCAAAATACTGAAATGTTTGAGAAGGTAAAGTAGGGCTGACAGAGTAGCTAAAGTGGTAGAGCACCTTACTAATAAGCATAAGGCCCTGAGTTCAATCCCCCAGTACTGCCAAAACAAAAAAGAAAAAGAAAAAAGGCAAGGAAAGGAAAAAGGTAAGGTAGTTCTCATAGTCCTGGTGAGAAAGAGGGAATGATTAGTTAGGTGTTGCTCCTTTGCTTAACTTCTACTTTTTTCCCTCTCCTCTTATAAAGCCACAGTCAGAACTATCTCACAGTTCCACAATAACCATTCCAATGTAGTACCACATGGGAAATTTGACTCAAAGGACACAGTTTGAGGACGTTCCTGAAAAAGTTGTCAGCATGGTGTAATCAGCAAGCTCTAAGCTGAAGTTGTTCCACCCTTCTATATTTGCAGCAACTATAAGGAATAAGACAAAGTATCCAACAATATCTTCTATCTTAAGAATGAGTCTGTGGTCTACTTGAAGAGTTGAGACAACACACATAAAAAATACTGAGAATAACAAGCCTCTGATCCACATGGGTATGGACGTTTACAAAGAGTGAACATGAGGCCTAACTGGGATGTAGATGTAAAATACCTAGCATTGTATATAGCATGTGATAGGTGCTTACCAAATGCTAATTGTAACTATTAACAATAAAA